CAATGTGTTTTCAAGTCATATTCAGGAAAAGTTTCAGCTGCAGTTAGTTTGTGTTATTGTAAGTGTGTTTCTGTTAGTATAGGACACCGAGTCTTTGTGTTGTCGGAAATCACAGTTTTCTCCTCTTGGGACAGAACCGCAAACGAAACAACAGCCACTGCAATGTGAATAAACTGTGCTATCCGTTTTGAGTTACAATCGTTGTTCTAGAAATTCAATCTGAATACAGTAGTCTGTCGCTTCCTTAGGCTATCCTCCACCGATATATTTCGTATATATTTGTATTTTTTTGTCCAGCAGCCTTCAGTACAGTAACAATAGGATTATTTCAGGTTTAGTGCATTCTGCAAAGTCATATTTTGTATATATTTTTTATTGAGCGTTTCACAGCCATCTGCCAAGGCCCCAGGGTGCTTGATCCTAAGGCTGGGTATTTGGAATCAAACCACCAAGATGCTCCACCACAACTTAAAACAAACTCAGGCTTGAGTCAGACTTACACCATATCAGCCCATTCAGAAAACCCATACCATATACAGTATACGTTAAACAGCCCACCTTGACCCTGGTTCAGATTTCCCCCTCAGTACTAGGTCTGTACCTGCCGTACAGTGTCAAAAAGGGGTAGAGAGACTTAGATTGATATGATCAGTTTAGAAACACTTGTTCGTTACATTGTAATATATCCAAGGCCATATATTTGTACCTTCATAGGCTTAGTGTTGGCCCTCTATCCCGGGATATGTACTTGTGCGTACCCAGCTATTTGATTAACATCCTCCATCTCTATCCCCCCTGAGTGCTCTCACTCAGCGTAGCAGCTATTCTGACCTTCCTATGCCTGCCTCCACATTATTCAACATGACATATCATGGCATATCAACGCATTTGCAGTGCATACTAACTCTGAAGCTTACAAATTGAGTATCTCAATAATACTGAAAGAAACCATTCACCCGGAGCCGCGAGTCTGGCTAGCTCTGCTGCGTTGCTAGTCAGAGAGTGGGCCGGGCTAGGAACAGACCTGGGGGAAGCTGTCCTGCAGACTATTATAGCAGCTTACATTTGAGTAAGTTCAGAAAAACGACAAAGATGGCACTGTTTTCAGGCTAGCGCAAGATGTTTTCAGGCTAGCGCAAGATGTTTTCAGGCTAGCGCAATATGTTTTCAGGCTAGCGCAAGATGGCTGCAGACTGTGGCTTTATGGGTTTAGCCTGAGAGGAGACTCAGTTAGGTTCTGGATCCGATAGAGGGGGAGAATGTCCCCCTTGCAGGTTGATGTAAAGGATCTCTGTCTGTCTGCAGACTATTTATTTTTTATTTTATTTTACCTTTATTTAACTAGGCAAGTCAGTTAAGAACAAATTCTTATTTTCAATGACGGCCTACACCGGCCAAACCCGGACGACGCTGGGCCAATTGTGCGCCGCCCTATGGGACTCCCAATCTCGCCGGTTGTGTAACAGCCTGGAATCGAACCAGGGGGTCTGTAGTGACGCCTCAAGCACTGAGATGCAGCGCTTCAGACCGCTGCGCCACTTGGGAGCCCATGACTATGAATCATAGACATAGCAATCTCCGTCTGCCCCACCCAGTCCACTCTCTCTGGCCTCAACTCAGGAGCCCCTTAACACACAACACAGCAGCTCTAAAGAGAAACACGTTACATTTAAGAATCACTAAGCAAAAAATGATAAATCTGACGCTTATTATAAAATACGTTTTTAGCCAGTCGTCTTTTCAAAAATACAATCTAAGAAATGTAAACAAAAGAGACAATCATAATTGTTAGTCCTATATGTAACTGAAGTATTGAAAAAACGATTCAAATCAATAAAAAAAATATAATACTGATGATTTATGCATAAATGTATTTGATTAATACAACTACAAAAAAAACTACCAGAAAAGTACAATAAAATAATCCAAAAGTGACTATAAGCTCTATGGAATTGAACACATCTGAATTACGTTTTGTAATGAGCTCCAATGAGCAGTGCGACAAAGTAAGAAGCTCCACCTCTTACTAACCAACAGAAATACCCACTGCACACGGTCATTTTGAAGACACACTATGCTGTCCCTGTCTCTGTGTGTGTCACTCAAGCACATGCTTCCAACACAAAACGTAATTCTACTTGTAAGACCTGTGGTACACATGCCACATCTCTACCCACTACAATCAACAACCATCACGTTCATGTTCGTTTGATAAATATGATCTTAGGGTTAAAGTCTACCAAGGTTTTTTTTAAATTTATTTATTAGATAAATAGCTACCTGCGTTATTTTTGTAACCTCTTCACATACAGTATGGAGTGCTTGCTCTAGCTACCTATTCTAAAATCAAAGGCTACCATAGTGCACGTTATGGTAAAGAACAATGAAAAATCAAATGTGTGCTTCTCTCACTAGAACCACAGCCCCACTCCTAACCTCCTCTTCTCTCACTAGAACCACAGCCCCACTCCTAACCTCCTCTTCTCTCACTAGAACCACAGCCCCACTCCTAAACTCCTCTTCTCCCTCTGAAAAGTGCATTCTTGCTACTATGAAAGAGAAGCCCTCATAATACTACTCTAACCCTTCTCTTGACCAACATACCCCAACCAGAAGGCACATGAGAGCGACTGTCTACCACCGCAGTCATCACCCACACAACCTGCACACAACCCAGGCTCAGTGGGACGGACTCTATTGCTACATTCGCCATGGAAGATCACTGCAGTTTCCATCGCTTCATTAAATAGTTTCATACAGACAGTATAATATAACTAAAACGGGAGAAAACGTCAAACTTAATACTCCATACATTCATCTCGGTTGCCTCTGTCCCGACCAATCAGCTGCATTCATTTAACATTCTTCTCTAATGTGTTAAAACACAATCACTCCATTTATCAATATATCATGTTTATACTGTATGTTTTAATTAATCTAACACAACCAATAAAGACCATGATAATAATAATAATAATAAATAATAATTGGTCATTTAGCAGACGCTCTTATCCAGAGCGACTTACAGGAGCAATTAGGGTTAAGTGCCTTGCTCAAGGGCACATCGACAGATTTTTCACCTAGTCGGCTCGGGGATTAGAACCAGCGACCTTTCGGTTACTGGCACAACGCTCTTACCCACTAAGCTACCTGCCGCCCCCATAATGGCTTCAGATCACAGGAGGACGGGCTCCTGGTAACAGCTGGAGCGGAATCAGTGGAATGGTATCAAACACATGGTTTCCAGGTGTTTTGAGGCTGTTCCATTGGCACCGTTTCAGCCATTATTATGAGCTGTCCTCCCCTCAGCAGCCTCCACTGCTTCAGATATTCATAAAGAACTATTACATCCAGCAGAAATATGGTAAACATTGGAGTACCATTTCTTTGCCCGGTGCCTACAGTGTAACGTTCACTTCAGCAAACACACAGCCAAACGGTAAGGTATTGGAACACGTTTATAGGCTACTCACTACGTGGAGACTGTAAGGACTAAACCCTCTACTTCCTCGAGGAAGGAGTCTGAGCTAAATGCAAGCATCATGCTTCAGCTACTGAGGAAAATAATTCCTAAAAGCTAGCTAGTTATTTAAACTAAAAGTGGCACCTTCAGGCACCTCCTAAAGCTTCACAACAAGCTATGTGGTAATAGTCCTTTGTAACACCAGTTGACGTAGTTGGAGCACTGAGAAAGCCAAACGTTTTAGCATAGAGAGGCTGCATCTTACATAAGATCTCCTAACAGGAGTAATGTCTCATAACGAAAAAACAAAGCCTCAACTTAGGATACTTACTAAAATACAACCATTATACAACATTGTGCGTCCATGCTAGATCAAGTAACTGTTCCATCTTGTAACAGTTTTGGACTTATTTTGGAGAGCGTTAACACTGGCCGCGTCCGAATATCCATACTTGCATCCTAAATAGTAGGCTTTTTGAGTATGCGAAAAAAAGTTTTATAGTATGTGTAATTTCAAAAATCGAGTATACTTGAAATGCCCAGATGTCATACTTATTTAGGCTGTTGGTCTGGTAGAATTTGCTGCACACTATTGAAGTGAATAGTTTTTTCACACCCATGCTCGTTCGACACCGCTCTACAAAAAATGAACGAATGGCGGGGAACAAGTGCGATAGCGCATTCGATGACGCCTTCTCAGTATGGATGAGTAGTATGTTGATATTTGTTGCTTACTGCATATGTTTTTACTAAGTACATTGTAATTAGTATGTAGTACGATTAGTATACAGTTTAGGTAAGTAGTAGGCAAGCTAGATTTCGGACACAGCCACTGTCTTACCTGTTTTGGCACTTACTTTGGCCCTTTGGATAAGCAATATGTACATTTTATTTTCATTTTGTATTTCTCTGTTGAGTTTAAGACAATAAGTAAGACTGTTTTAAGTTTCACATGTTGAATGTGACTTAACTGTGCACCATCTTAATGGAGCATTAGGCACTAGATGCCCCAACAACGCCAGACAAATCAATACATTGTTAAGATAGCACTTTTAGTTTCAAAGTGTTGTCCATTTTAGATGTGGATTTGGGGTGCAGTATGATTTGAAAGCTGAAATAACTATTGAGGATCATCCTCGTCACAGATGACGTGCGTGATCACAATATGTGCATGTTGGGGAGGTTATATGTGAAAAAACAATATTGTTTAAGACCGAATCTAATAAAAATGTGTTTTTATCGCGCAGTTATGTTGTTTAAATGGAAAGCGTAATTAAAACAAATACTTTTGTACAGGTACCATGGACCCAAAACTCTAGCAATGTTTCTGCCTGACATAGGTGGCTGTTGTCAGATAACATTGACCAGTTGGAAGCCAGTGCACAAGCTGAAGACGACAGCAAAATGCAATGGAATCTTACATCGTGAGAGGGCAGGGTGTAGAGCTGACAGAAGGGAAGGCTATGGGAGAATAGAGAGTAGCACAGGACCTCTACATCCGAAGATGCAGTGCTACAGATAAGGGAAGCAGGAGAACTTAGAACTCAATCTTGCAGGCAGGGAAGGACTCGTCCTGCATGACCACCGTGCTGCTGCTGGCCAGGACCATGATGTTCAGGTCCTGCTGTTTCTCGTGTGTCTGCTGGTACCAATCCCGCGTCACCGCCGTGTCATGAGTAGGGATCAGAGTCACCTATGTTTTAGAGAGAGAGGACATGTATCAGGTCAAAATTCACCAATACATTGATCAAGCAATCAGCCCAGCCGGTCAAAATTAGGCAGCATAACGTCATGAACAGTTTTTTCTGGTCTCTGGATAAGAGCGTCTGCTAAATGACTAAAATGTAAGAATACATCATGTAAGCAGATTATAACCAACCAGGAAAATAATTGTAAGACATTTTGGTCAAATTACAACCAGATTAAGACGTGTTTTGCCAGATGCTTAATGTTTTTCAAAATGTCATATTACAACCAGTATACAACCTGACCATGATGTCACAAAATATGTCATACTGATGTTATTGCGACCAGTTTTGCCAACCGGGAATATTGTGCAATACTCAACAGGAAATGTTAATAATACTGAAAAAACATGCAACAATTTCAAAGATTTTACTGAGTTACAGTTCATAGAAGGAAATCAGTCAATTGAAATAAATGCATTAGGCCCTAATCTATGGATTTCACATGACTGGGCAGGGGCGCAGCCATGGGTGGGCATGGGAGGGCATAGGCCCACCCACTGGGGAGCCAGGCCCAGCCAATCAGAATGAGTTTTTCCCCACAAAAGGGCTTCATTACAGACAGAAATACTCCTTGTTCAGTGGACATCATCGTCATTATGAAAACTGCCAGAATGCAAATGACTCTAGAACAACATTGACAGTTACATTGTGAATGTTACAATCTGAATGGTCAAATAATGATGTCCGTCTCAGTGGCTGTAAACAATGGCATACATTGTCTAAAGCATTTTCAAGCATCTGTTTACACTACCAAGTGTGCAATTTTCCATTTTACAAGTGATTCAGATCAGTGATTCTGAATATATCCCTCTGGATCCTGAGATTAGCAGTGGTGCAGAATGTCTCCGCAGCGAGAAAGCACAGGCTAAATGGAAATGTGAAGATAAGTCAAACAAAATGAACTAACAATGTCGAGAAAAGTCAAACAGACTGTGAAGAAAAGTCAAACATAATTAACTAACAATGTGGAGAAAAGTCCAAACAAAATGAACTAACAATGTGGAAAAAAGTCCAACAGAATGAACTAACAATGTGGAAAAAAAAGTTACAACATTTACTTAACAGCAGAGACCGCATGTATGCAGACAGAGAGAGAGACTAAGAGAAAGAAATAGAGTACCTGTAAACAAAATGAACTAACAATGTGGAGAAAAGTCAAACAGAATGTGAAGAAAACTCAAACATAATTAACTAACAATGTGGAGAAAAGTCCAAACAAAACAAACTAACAATGTGGAGAAAAGTCCAAACAAAACTAACTAACAATGTGGAGAAAAGTCAAACAGAAAAGTCAAACAAAATGAACAAACAATGTGGAAAAACAGCAGAGACCACATGTATGCAGACAGAGAGAGACTAAGATAAAGAAATAGAGTACCTGAAGATTGGAGCCCCATGTGGCCTTGCCCTCCAGCAGGGCATCCAGGACCCCACGACTGGGCTCTCCACCGGCCGGGTCGTTGCCGCTCACCACGTAGTACGCAGCACGCACCCGCTTGAAGAACTCCTGGTCCACGTTCTTGGCACTGCAGTGGTTGGGCACGTAGGCCAGGTCCACATAGATTGGAGGCCCAGGGGGGACGGCTGAACTAGATTTCTGGGAGTTGGTACCTGGAGGAGGAGGACCATAATGTAAAACTGTAGAAGTCTCTAATGACTTCAGAATGACTAATGACATTTCCCCTGTTTGACTGGGGGGAAACTCAGACATCTATGTCTATGTAAATCAAGGGTAAATTAGAATGGGGAAGTGTGTGTCATCAAGCCATTGAGGATGATTTTTGAAATGTAAGGTTACAAGGCATTACATTTCTATCATCTTTGAAGTTTTTTAAGTTTCCTCTACTACAGAATATGGAGTCATATCATCATTCTTTATTTTTACCCAAATTGCTCTTGACGCCATTCACCAGGCCTTTCCCTGGAGTGTGTAGGTCCCCCCTGGATCCCAGGCCCTCGGACTTCTGCGTCAGCCTGGAGCTCCTTTCCGTGTCCCTCCTCCTCAGAGAGGCTGATCGAGGCGAGGAGTCCTTGGAGGCCTGCTTCACAGGGGTGATGGACCTCTTCCCCTTCCGGGCTGGGGACGCAGACTTAGGCTTACCCAGGCCCTTCCGCAGGCTCTTGGTGGTCTTGTGGTCCTTCTTGAGAAGTTTCTCTGTGCTGCTCTGGTCGTTAGGGAGGGCCTCTGGGTCCACCATGCACACGTCAGGGTGAGGCGGGTGGGGGAGGGGGTCCTTCATAGGGGCAGGTGGGGGGTCGTGGACCTTCGCAGCTGATCTGGGCGAGGGGGGTTGGTGGCCCCCTCCTGTGGCGGAGGCAGATAGTTTATCCACTGGCAGGTGTTCTGCATCTTCGTCTGAGTCCAGGTTTCCTTCTGCTGTAATCGACGGGCACTCCTCTGTCTCTGGAGGTACGTCCGAGTCAGACTGTGACGCTAATGAGTCGCTCACTGATGTGGGGGGCGTCTCCTCTCCAGCTAGCATCACCCCGAGTCCAGTTGCCATGCCACCAGGAGGCATGGAAACTGGTTGCGACCCCTCTCCAGCTCCAGTAGCTCCAATTTGAGTGAGATGTCGCTTTTGCTTGTGAGACCTCCTCTTGACCGAGTGTTGCTCGCGGTCATCTTCATCACCCTCTTTGTCGTCTTCGTCATCATCGCTGGAGAGGGCGTGTGGACTGGGGTTGATGAAGGATGGGGAGATCTCTCCTTTGCGGTGTTTGTAGTCACATGAGGAGTAGCCAGGGGGGGATGAGGAGGTAGGCTCCATATGCAGGTCAGTGGGACGACTGGATTCTCCATCCGCTTTTGCAGATGCCTCCGTATTGTGGGCATGTTCTGCTGTGGACAGACGGATGGGCTGGCCTGGAGCTAGCCATTCTTCTTGACCATATTCTTCCTCTGCTTCTTCTGCTTCTTCTGTTTCGTACGCTTCCTCATCTTCTTCCTTGTCGTCTCCTGGAGGGGAGCTTGGGCCTGGACCTTGTATGAGTTCCCAGTCAGATAAGCTACTCCTCCTCCTTTCGGCCGTCTTCTCTACCTGTTTCTCTGCTTTTTTATCCTCTACTTCGTCTTTCTCTCCCTCTTTCATCTCCTTCTCTTTCTCACTCTCCTCATCAGTCTTGTCTTTCTTCTTCTCCTCCTCCTTCTCCTTCTCATCCATCTCTTTCTCCTCATCCTCCTCCTTCTGATCTGGCATTTCCTTGTCCTCCTTTAGGGTCTCTACCTTGCTCTCCTTCTTCTCCTCATCTTTCATTTCCATCTTATCTTTCTCATTCTTTGTCTCTTCTTCTTCCTCCTTTTTCTGATCTGATTTAGGCAGATCTGATTTAGGCAGATCAGATTTAGGCAGATCTGATTTAGGCAGATCTGACGTTGTGGCACAAGAGGCTTTGCTAGCTCCACCGAAGACTTCTTGGGCACTCGTGCTAACCTCAGTAGGCCCATTGGAAGAGGCTTCAGTTGACTCCTGTGGTTTTGTCACCACATCAGATTGGGTGACTGTTGTGGTTGTACTGGAGGTGATGGTGACCATGTGTGTCTCAGTCATGGACAGCATGCCTTCTTTTGGCTCTGTCACTGAAGATTTCTGGCATTCAATGCGGCATGGAAGAGTACTGTCCTCCATTTCATAAGTGTAGGACTCTTTGCTGCCCGCTGAGCCCTGGGATTCTCTGTCAGGAGAGTCAGCTCTTTGCAATGGGGAAACATCAAAGAGAGCCCTTGAAGTGGATATGGTTGATGGTTCTGAAGCCCCGGCAGACGACGTTATGGTTTTGGTTTCAACAATGCTCTCAAGTTTATAAAAGGTATCAGAGGTCTGACCCTTGTACATTTCAGGGCTGGATGATGTGTCTTGTTGAATGGTGTCTTTGGCTGGAGTAGCTAAGACTGGAGAGACTTGTTTCAGACTGAATGTAGTTGTAGTTGTTGAGGTAAGCTTTTCAGAGGCTTCTAGGTACTCCTCCTTTAACATTACCCCTGAGGTTGAGAGGATTGAGTGCCTGACTGAGGAGTCTCCATCTTTGAAAGAAGAATACTTGACGGAAGCACCCTCAGAATCTATCCTGTAGGGGGCACTAGACATTGTGACGGGAGTCTCTACCTCCTCTCGAAACTGGTGGCTGGTTGATAGAGAAGCTGAGGCAGATGGGAGGTAAGACGAAGGAGCTTCCTCCGGTTTTCTACTAGCAGTATCTGGGGTTCTGTGCCTCTCAGCTTCAATGTCTCCCTGACTGTAATGTTTATCTTCACTGGACTTGGTGGGCAGAGATAGGTCAGGACTGTCAAACCTCTCCCCCTTTAACCCCAGCTGGCTGTCCTCAGAATACTCTGAAGATTCAGAAGGATATCCTCCAGATCCTGTTTGTTCCATCGCAGTGGAACTGCCAGACTGGAGTGGCGAGGCACAAACTAAATTCTTCAAAAGGGAATCTGCAGTATCTGCCAGTGGAGGGCTGCTTTTGGTAATTGAATGGGAAGGTTCCTCCTTTTTGAGGAGGCTGGGTTCGGGTGAGAGGGCCTTCTTGTCCTCTTCCTCTGTAACAAGATGTTTAGAAGGCGTGGTATCATCCGATGTAGTTTTACAGATTTCTTTTTCAGACTGCTCTCTCGCCCCCTTCTCCACATCTACATCACTGGCTTCTTCTTCTTCTTCCTCCTCATCTTCACCATCCTCCTCATCATCATCATCATCATCATCATAATCCTCTCCCACCACCAGTAGCCTCTTATCTACACTGTCCGGAGTGTCTTCTCTCTCAGAATAGCCCATTGTAGATTTACTGGTGATAGAGCTGCCAATTTGAGTGTACTCCGACGCAAGAACATTATCGTCTATGAGATGTCCTGAATATGCGGCCAGGGGGGCAGCAGTAGCCTGATTGTCCTTTTCCTTAGGCGAAGCTTGATGAGGTAACATGTCTTTCTCCGCTGGTGAGTAGCGACCAGAGGGAGAGTCTCCTCTCTCACTGTCCGATGAATCCAACTTGTCTTTCACTGGCTCATCTTTTTCCTTCTCTGTTGTCTGCTTCTCAGGGACGTCTTCAAAAGGCATTGCAGTAGCTTGGGCACTGTGGTTGGATTGACCCCATGAGGGAGAGGCTGTTTCCTTTCTGCCTGACTGGACCGGCAGATACTCCTCTAAACTGGGAGATGCTCCAGCCTTGTCCGTCTCTCCTGTAGATGTTTGAGGGGCCGACCAGGCATCGTCCTTCATTTCGTCTTTCTCAACTTTTTCAGGTTTCTCTTCTTTGAGACTGAACGCAAATGAGCATGGCTCAGCTTTAGGGGTGGTTTTGTTGTCTTGAGTCTCTGAATATGCAAATCTGTTTTCCACATGTGGCATAGCTTGTCCCTCCTTCCTATCACTCTCTTCCTCTTGACCTTTCTCTTTGTCATTGTGTTCAGGGAAGGCACTTGGGCTGCAACTGGGGCTTCTCTCGCTCTCTGCGAAAGGGGGTGGGGTGTAATCAACTCTGCTGAATGACAGCGTTTCCTCTTTTTCCTCGTCCTCTGAGTAGAGTGCAGCATCTGCCTGCCGTGCTCTCCTATTATCATCAATGCCAATTTGTGCTGACCGATCAAACTCTATAGAAACCTCACTGTCTTCTTTATAGTCTGATGCCTGTTCTTTTGAAATGTGCTTTTCATAGGGTTCATACTTAGACATACCAAAGCCCTGATTTTGTTCTTGCAAGCTCACACTGATAGCCTCCTTCTCTGTTGTCATTTTATCAAAACCTTCCACTTTTTCGGAGGCACTGTCTGCTTTTGTAGCGTCAATGTCGCCCACTTCCTCCGGAAACTCAGCAGAATCTTTATCCAAGAGAAAATATGAACAAGGGTGTGTGTGCCCTGGAGAAGCAACTTCCCGCTCTGTTTCCAATTCCCTCTCAGCTTCCTTGCCTGGTTTCTCCTCTCCTTTTTGAAAAACATGCTTTGTCTTTACATCCGTATTAGATGCTTCTTTGCTTGTTGTCATAGAAGGCAGCAGTGTTTCATGCTGGGTGGATTCCTCCACACCTGCCTGGCAATCGGTGCTAGAGAGAGTGGAACTCATAGCCTGGCTGTCAGTGCTTGATATTGTTGAACCTATAGCCTGGCTGTCAGTGCTTGATAGTGTTGAACCTATAGCCTGGCTGTCTGTAGTGTTGGAGTCTGAGACTGGTTCTTCTTTGGTGGTAGAGATAGCAGAGACTGGCTCCTCTTTCAAGATAGGGAAACCAATGGTGGGCTCTTGGCTGAGATGCGGTCTTGATGTGGTCTCAGTTGTCCTGTTGTCCTTTTCTAGTTCAGGGGAGAGTCTATGTTGTCGATCTTTATGCTGCTCTTTGATGTCTTTATCAGGAGAGGCCTCCCGTTTCGGTAATGAAGACACAAGCCCAGTGGTCTGTTCAGAGTGGCTGTCCTTCGTTTGGTCACTAAGCACATTTTCTGATGGCTGAGTTGAGAGCAGATGTTGAGACATGACGTTGTGCTCTGATTGTCTAGGTTCCACCGATAAAGGTCTTGAGCCTGCACCAGCCATGCAAATGGATTCGTCTTCCTCTTCCTCCTCATCCTCATCTCCGTCTGAGTACTGAACCTGAAATGTAGACTCAAGCTTTGTCGCAGACGTCACCTCTAGTTTCTCTACTGTTCTTGTCAGTGTGGTGCGCTGTAAGGCCTCTCGTATATATTTCTCTGGCACCTCCTCTTCCTCCTCTTTAGCAGGTTCGATCTCATGAGAATCATATTTTTCTGTCTCTTCCTTGCTCTTCTCATCTTTGACTTTGTCAGCTTCATCTCTATCTTTCTCTCTCTCCTCATCTTTGACGTCTTCTAAATCACTAGTATCATCTTTTTCTTGCTCATTTTCCATCTTCCGTTCTTTACTGACTTCAGCCACATGAGTATCATCTTTCTCCATTTTGTCTTCCTGACTGACTTCAATCTCAAAAAACAAATCATTTTCTTTATTGTCTCCCTGGGTGGATTCAGCCGTGCATGTATCACCCTTCTCTTTCTCTCTGTACTCTTCTTTAGTCGGTTCAGTGTCAAAAGTATCTTTCTCTTTCGTCTCATCTTTCATGGGTTCAGACACAAGAGGACATTCTCTCTCAATCTTTTGCTCCTCGATGGCATCAGTCTTGCAAGTATCATCCTTCTCTTTCGTCTCACCTTTCATGGGTTCAGCCACAAAGGTATCTTTCTCTTGCACTATTTGTTGTGTAGTGGTGGAGACTGAGGCTGTCTCCACTTTAGAGGTAGAGATACAAGAGCTTAGCTCATCTTTAGAAGTTAATATACTCTCTATTTCTTTCTGTTTTTCTTCTTTCGTAGGTTCACACTTCTCCTCCTTGATGAGCTCAGCCCCACAAATATCCTCTTTCTCCTTTTCAGCTTCAGTAGTACCAACCTTTTCTGTTTCTTTCTTCTCTTCCTTGATGGGTTCAGCTTCAGTAGTACCAACCTTTTCTGTTTCTTTCTTCTCTTCCTTGATGGGTTCAGCTTCAGTAGTACCAACTGTTTCTGTTTCTTTCTTCTCTTCCTTGATGGGTTCAGCTTCATGAATATCATATTTTTCCTTCACTTTCAAATCTTTATCTTCCTTGATGGGTTCTGCTTCATGAATATCATATTTTTCCTTCACTTTCAAATCTTTATCTTCCTTGATGGGTTCAGCTTCATGAATATCACCTTTTTCCTTCACTTTCAAATCTTTATCTTCCTTGATGGGTTCAGCTTCATGAATATCATATTTTTCCTTCACTTTCAAATCTTTATCTTCCTTGATGGGTTCAGTTTCATGAATATCATATTTTTCCTTCACTTTCAAATCTTTATCTTCCTTGATGGGTTCAGCTTCATGAATATCATATTTTTCCTTCACTTTCAAATCTTTATCTTCCTTGATGGGTTCAGCTTCATGCATATCATCTTTTTCCTTCACTTTAAAATCTTCATCTTTCTTGATGGGTTCAGCTTCATGAATATCATCTTTTTCCTTCACTTTAAAATCTTCATCTTTCTTGATGGGTTCAGCTTCATGAATATCATCTTTTTCCTTCACTTTCAAATCTTCATCTTTCTTGATGGGTTCAGCTTCATGAATATCATATTTTTCCTTCACTTTCAAATCTTCATCTTTCTTGATGGGTTCAGCTTCATGAATATCATATTTTTCCTTCACTTTCAAATCTTTATCTTCCTTGATGGGTTCAGCTTCAGTAGTACCAACTGTTTCTGTTACTTTCTTCTCTTCCTCTGTGGTTTCAGCTTCAGTAGTACCAACCTTTTCTGTTTCTTTTTTCTCTTCCTTGATGGTTTCAGCTTCAGTAGTCCCAGCTTCAGTAGTCCCAACTGTTTCTGTTTCTTTCTTCTCTTCCTTGATGGGTTCAGCTTCAGTAGTACCAACTGTTTCTGTTTCTTTCTTCTCTTCCTTGATGGGTTCAGCTTCAGTAGTACCAACTGTTTCTGTTACTTTCTTCTCTTCCTTGATGGGTTCAGCTTCAGTAGTACCAACTGTTTCTGTTACTTTCTTCTCTTCCTTGATGGGTTCAGCTTCAGTAGTACCAACTGTTTCTGTTACTTTCTTCTCTTCCTTGATGGGTTCAGCTTCAGTAGTACCAACTGTTTCTGTTTCTTTCTTCTCTTCCTTGATGGGTTCAGCTTCAGTAGTCCCAACTGTTTCTGTTACTTTCTTCTCTTCCTTGATGGGTTCAGCTTCAGTAGTACCAACTGTTTCTGTTACTTTCTTCTCTTCCTTGATGGGTTCAGCTTCAGTAGTACCAACTGTTTCTGTTTCTTTCTTCTCTTCATTGATGGGTTCAGCTTCAGTAGTCCCAACTGTTTCTTTCTTCTCTTCCTTGATGGGTTCAGCTTCAGTAGTACCAACTGTTTCTGTTTCTTTCTTCTCTTCCTTGATGGTTTCACCTTCAGTAGTCCCAACTGTTTCTGTTACTTTCTTCTCTTCCTTGATGGGTTCAGCTTCAGTAGTACCAAATGTTTCTGTTTCTTTCTTCTCTTCCTTGATGGGTTCAGCTTCAGTAGTACCAACTGTTTCTGTTACTTTCTTCTCTTCCTTGATGGGTTCAGCTTCAGTAGTACCAACTGTTTCTGTTACTTTCTTCTCTTCCTTGATGGGTTCAGCTTCAGTAGTACCAACTGTTTCTGTTTCTTTCTTCTCTTCCTTGATGGTTTCAGCTTCGGTAGTCCCAACTGTTTCTGTTACTTTCTTCTCTTCCTTGATGGGTTCAGCTTCAGTAGTACCAACTGTTTCTGTTTCTTTCTTCTCTTCCTTGATGGGTTCAGCTTCAGTAGTACCAACTGTTTCTGTTACTTTCTTCTCTTCCTTGATGGGTTCAGCTTCAGTAGTACCAACTGTTTCTGTTTCTTTCTTCTCTTCCTTGATGGGTTCAGTTTCAGTAGTACCAACTGTTTCTGTTTGTTTCTTCTCGTCCTTGATGGTTTCAGCATCAGTAGTCCCAACTGTTTCTGTTACTTTCTTCTCTTCCTTGATGGGTTCAGCTTCAGTAGTACCAACCTTTTCTGTTTCTTTCTTCTCTTCCTCGGTGGTTTCAGCTTCAGTAGTCCCAACTGTTTCTGTTTCTTTCATCTCTTCCTTGGTGGTTTCAGCTTCAGTTGTACCAACTGTTTCTGTTTCTTTCTTCTCTTCCTCTGTGGTTTCAGCTTCAGTAGTACCAACTGTTTCTGTTTCTTTCTTCTCTTCCTTGATGGGTTCAGCTTCAGTAGTACCAACTGTTTCTGTTTCTTTCTTCTCTTCCTTGATGGGTTCAGCTTCAGTAGTACCAACTGTTTCTGTTACTTTCTTCTCTTCCTTGATGGGTTCAGCTTCAGTAGTACCAACTGTTTCTGTTTCTTTCTTCTCTTCCTTGATGGGTTCAGTTTCAGTAGTACCAACTGTTTCTGTTTGTTTCTTCTCGTCCTTGATGGTTTCAGCATCAGTAGTCCCAACTGTTTCTGTTACTTTCTTCTCTTCCTTGATGGGTTCAGCTTCAGTAGTACCAACCTTTTCTGTTTCTTTCTTCTCTTCCTCGGTGGTTTCAGCTTCAGTAGTCCCAACTGTTTCTGTTTCTTTCATCTCTTCCTTGGTGGTTTCAGCTTCAGTTGTACCAACTGTTTCTGTTTCTTTCTTCTCTTCCTTGATGGGTTCAGCTTCAGTAGTACCAACTGTTTCTGTTTCTTTCTTCTCTTCCTTGATGGGTTCAGCTTCAGTAGTACCAACTGTTTCTGTTACTTTCTTCTCTTCCTTGATGGGTTCAGCTTCAGTAGTACCAACTGTTTCTGTTTCTTTCTTCTCTTCCTTGATGGGTTCAGTTTCAGTAGTACCAACTGTTTCTGTTTGTTTCTTCTCGTCCTTGATGGTTTCAGCATCAGTAGTCCCAACTGTTTCTGTTACTTTCTTCTCTTCCTCTGTGGTTTCAGCTTCAGTAGTACCAACTGTTTCTGTTTCTTTTTTCTCTTCCTTAGTGGTTTCAGCTTCAGTAGTACCAACTGTTTCTGTTTCTTTCTTCTCTTCTTTGGTGGTTTCAGCTTCAGTAGTACCAACTGTTTCTGTTTCTTTCTTCTCTTCCTTGGTGGTTTCAGCCTCATGTGTGTCATGTTTTTCAGTCTCATTCTCCTTCATGTCCAGTTTTATGGGTTTTACATCAGAAGTATCATCATCATCCTCACCGTCGTCATCATCTAAGAAGCTACTTTCCTTCTCCTTTGGGAATTTAGCCTTACTGCACACGTTGGATTCTTTCTGTTGATGGTCATCATCATCCTCCTCATCACTGTGTCTCAGTATAGCCTTACCACTAGAAATGTCTTCTGTCAGAGATCCCTTTCCTAATACGGACGCTTCGTCTTTCCTTGTGACTGACTCAGAGGCAAGAGGAGCTGTCACCTGTTTCTGTTGGATCTCATCTTTGGAAGCGGAGAGACCATCTTTTTCTTCCACTTTTGTAACCGGCAAGTCTTTTTCAAATGATTCCTCCCCAGATGGTGGTGTGTCTGACTCATGTTGATTTCCTTTCTGGATGTCAGCATCTAGTTCTTCATGATTATCTTCTTTGTCTTCCTTTTCCGTGCGATTTTTCTTTGCATCCTCATCATCGGTTTTGGTGGCTGAATCTTGAACGTCCTCCTGTGTTTGATGCGCCAGTCCTGGGAAGCCTTTGGTCTTTTCTTCCACAGGCGACTGATGAAGAGGAGAGTGAGTTGGAGAGTGGGTTGCACTGGGAGGTCCAGACTGTGTGGGAGAGGCCATTTTCACAGTGCTGTCGTCTGGACTGAAGCATCGCTCTTCACCTTCCGAAGTAACTGAGTCTGACCTAAATGGCTTTGAGAAAGAGGGTGGTGGTGAAAGGGGTTTTGAAGGCACTGCCGTTGAGATGTCTTCTTTGGACTTAAAGAGCTGTACCTCCTCCTCAACTGGTGGGTGATCCAGCTTCAAATCCTGAACAGGTTTGGAGACAGGAGACTCAGAGGCGGGGAGCTTTTCCACATCCCATTCTCTATCCTTGAGCATTTGAGGAGAGGCATAGCTCTCCTGGAGTTTTCCAAGTGAAATGTCAATGTTAGGAGTTTGGTCTTCATCTTCTTCCTCTTCATCGTGAGCCTTGATGACCTTATCCTCAGTCTTCACATCAGAGACAACAGGCAGGCACTCCTCGGATGGAGGTGACTTCAAGCACTTGTCGTCCTCCAAGGAAGATGTTGGTGAGATGGTCCCAGCAGAGTGGAAGTGTTCTTTCCCATGTGTGGCCTCGGTTGGAATTGCCAGGGGAACGCTGTTAATAGTATCGTGAAGCAGTGAGCTTTTGTCCGTTTCCTCAGTCTGAGGTGTAGTGACGGAAGTCACCAATTGGTCCTCTGCAATAGAGGTAGGGAAGGAAGACAATTTATCATACTCTGTGATGGATGTGGCTGAGGAAACAAGTTCCTCCTCAGCCAAGGGAGCAGACATGATGTTAGTGAATACTGATACTTGCTCCTGTCCACTAATGAAACCTTTGGCTGTTACATCAGCCATAGCTGCTGCTTGCATCTCCTTCATCCCGTGGATGGTGTCAAAGGAGCCTGTCTGATCTGGGACAGAGATGTCATATGCGCCCACTTCGTATTGGAGGTGTGGTATCCTGTCTTCAGCCTCCTCGTGAATCTCCTCATCAGAGATGGTCTGTTCAGTTTCGGAGTAGCCGGGAATGGTTTCGTCTTGAATGAATGAGATAGGCTCGGCTGCAGCAGCTCCTTGCAGTGTTGATACTATGTCAGCTGTAGCCCCACCCACATTTGAGATGTAGCCCTCCTCATCTTCCTCATCCTCCTCTTTGGCTCCAGCAGTCTGTTCCACTGCTTTGCTTTCCCAGTTCTTGGCCAATGTTTCTTTCTCTCCTGCTTCAGGTTTGTCTTTGACCTCTTCATCAGCTATCACGTCTAAGTCTTCTACCTCTTCCAGCTCGGCCTTTTCAACAACATCTTCATCTTCTTCCTCCTCCTGGGATGAGGGCTTTCCGCTTTCCTCTTTTGTTACCGCCACAGCTGTGGGCTTTTCAGCTTTCTCCATTTCCTCCACCTCATGTTTCCTGTCTAGTCCGTTATCTTTTGCATCATCTTCCTCCTCCCCTATCCCCATATCTTCCTCTACCGTTTTCCTCTCTGCTATCAGGCCTTCTTTTTCCTCCTCTTCATCATCTTCATCTTCATCATCCTCATCCTCATAGATATCCACATCCTGTGCTTGTAATCCTTCTTTATGCTCTTTTGCTAATTTGTCCTCTTTGCTTTGAGATTCAGTCTCAACTTCCATTTCTGTGGCTGCTCCCTTCTCAGGAGACTTTGTGCCCGGTGGAGTTTGAGAGACAGTTTCCTGTTCTTTTTCCTCCTCCTGGGTAGGGGATCCGGACATGCTTTTCTCTGCTGGTCTCTCCACTGCACTCTCTGGTGGCTCTGATCGTATCTCATCTTGTTTTAACTTGGTACGATCCTCTGGAGTGGAGGAAGCAGACATGCCCTCATCAGCCCCATTCTGTAGTGGCTCAGGCTGAATGATATCTGCTGCTAGTTCCTCAGGTTTGGGTTCAGCAGGCTCTGCCTTGGCCGCTTTGACTTTGCTTTTGTCGGTTTTGGGTTTACTTGACGCTTTTGCCCTGTGCAGGGTCTTTCTGACCTCTGGTGTTAGGGGTTTTAGGTCAGGTTTTGTTATCTTTCTCAACTCCGGTTTGGACGAGTCCTTTTTCTTATCAACTTTGGAGTCTTTTTTATCTTCTTTTCTAGCTGTGTCATCTTTCTTGACTTTCTTGATCTCTTTCTTTTCCTTGTTCTCAGCCATCTTGGATTCCTTTGAGTGTTTTTTCAAGGACTTCTCCTTCAATAGTTTTTTCTTTTCTGGTCCATCAGTCTTGGATTTTAGTATTTTTGTGGGTTTTTCATTCTCTTTCAGTTTCTTCTCTTCTTTTACAGAGTCACTCTTTGCCTCTGTGGTTGCCGAAACCTCATCGTCTGCTTCTTTCTTTGGGGCTTTGGTAGTCTTGGGAGATGATTTAAGACTTTCTTTGCTGTCTGTCCTTTGCTTCAGTTTTGTCTGTTTTACAACAGAGGGTGGAGCTCCTGAGGCAATGTCTTTTTGTGTGGCTACTGGGTATCGCAAGAAGTCAAGGTGCTTTAATTTCTCTAGCCCCTCCAGGATTTTGTTTTGTGGTGCGTTTCCAGGGAACAGCACTCTGACAATCTTTTCTGCAGGATTGGCAGGAAGCCAGACGACTAATGCTGTAACTGATGTCAGGTAAGGTACGGATATTTCTCCCTCTTTTCCATTGGGCAGCACGATGCCAGTTTTGGCCTTGCTGTTACCCGCCCACTTCTGCATGAGAAACTGCATCTCCTTACTGTCCTTGACGGGGTTCAGAACATACATGTCTAACTTGCCCACTCCCATCTTATGAAAAAGAGTGAAGGGCTCAATAGGGTTGCTGACCAGTCTACAGAGAGGCTCTGGCTTGATTCCCAGTTTGTTGAGGTACTGCAACGTGAGTGAGGCCTCCTCGATGCTGCGCTTGACCTTTAGGTTTGATTCTGGCATACGTAGCTTCTCGGGTACATTGAAGAAGATCACACCAAGCTCTGGAGAGATCAGGTTCTTCATCCAGTCGTTGTAGCTGGTGGAACCTTGTGACTGCTCCTCCTCCTGCTCTGCTATTTTCCTCTGAAGGAGCCCGTTGATGCCTGGCAGATTGTCTGCACCGATGTGAGTGAGTAGAATCGAGTCGATGCGGTCCAAGTGTCTGACCAGCTTCCAGAAGCATGATTTCCTTTCAGAGCCTCCATCCACTAGGATGTTGAAGCCGTTGACTGCAAACAGGGCTGAGTCGCCCCTCCCCCCGGGGAAGACATAGCAGCAGGGCCTGGACAGTTTCAGGAAGCCTCCAGATGTGGGCGGCTCCAGGAGGTCAAAGGGCGAAGGCACGTCTACTGTCTCAGAGATGTACTCTGTGAACTCTGTGACTCCCTCCATCTTGGGGAGCACAGGCTCAGGGTTCAGTCTGTACTCCAGGAACTCCCGTAAGTACTGCTGCTGCCCCAGGGAGCTCCAGCCCACCTCCGCACGGCAGGATACAGTGAGTGTGGCCCGCTGCTCGGGGGCCGCTTCGCCCAGCAAATCACTGACCTACAGGAGAATGACAGACAGAGACAAGCCCCAAGGTCAGTGCTGATGTATAAAAATTGCTCAATGACATTGCTGCTATGATTTTCATCCACAATTCCAGTTCATGGGAGTAATATTTAAGATTTGTTTTTTCATTGGTAATCTAATCTTCATTTATTTATTTTTTACATAAGCTTTTCAGTGCTACAGACTAGAGTCAACAATGCCAGAAAAGGCTGTTCTGAACAGTAAAAGCTTACCCCAGGATCAGCTACGACTCGTGAGAAGCTCTGATAGGTGAAAACCCCACTTTGGAGAAGCAGGTCACCGTGGTCTGCGTGCTGCCCACTCAGGACCAGGAGCTTGTGTCCTGCTGAGTCTGTGACTAGAGACTGGATCTGGGGAAGAGAGCAAGACAGAGGATAATTATAGGACACAGCACAGGATAAAGACAATATTACTTTTATATTTTTATATGGGTTAGGGCAGTGGTTCCCAACTCCGGTCCTCCAGTACCCCTAACAGCACACATTTATAATAATAATAATAATAATATGCCATTTAGCAGACGCTTTTATCCAAAGCGACTTACAGTCATGCGTGCATACATTTTTGTGTATGGGTGGTCCCGGGGATCGAACCCATTACCTTGGCGTTACAAGCGCCGTGCTCTACCAGCTGAGCTACAGAGGACCACATTTATGTTGTAGCCCCGGACAAACTCACCTGATTCAACTCATTGAGGGCTTAACGATTAGTTGACAGTTGAATCCGGCGTGCTTGTCAGGGGCTACAACAAAAACGTGTGCTGTTGGAGGTACTGGAGGACCGGAGTTGGGAAACACTTGGTTAAGCTCTGAATTTAATCAAATGTTTTACAATTTCATTAAGCCATTATGGTATGCCACTTATATCACAGTGAGAGAAAATTGTTTTCTTTCAGGATTTTTTTATTTTTATGCATGAGATTCTAAATCTTCATGACAATTAATGTTTAAAAATACATATAATGATTGATAGGTCTAAATGAAGCACAAGACCAGATTTTCCTAAATGTATTTTCAATCTAGAAACGCACCTCTGAAGCAACCGTATCCTCAGATGGGTTGACTAACACCACAGTCTCTAGGACATCACTTTTGTGGTGGAGAGTCCGTTGTCCTACAGGGGCAAGAACATCGAACAACATGAGGAGAGAGTACGTGTTTTTGTCAATATCTTTCCTGTGCTTGCTTTCAAATCCTTCTAGATGTAAGCAACATTGGCACAGGTCAACAACTTAAGAGGCTACTAAGAATCTTGGCAGAGTCTGAACAGTCTGCCCCAAAGACATCCTGCTGGAGAGTATCCAGTCTTTGAGTCAGGGAGATTTAGTCCTGTGTACTGCATGGTGCCTGTATGTGGGCCAGACACTTATAGAGACAGTGCGTCAAGGCAAGAACAAAAGTTGGAATAGGAAATAGGTCACCAATGTCTACTGGCTGCGGCTTGAAGTCAGAGCTTCTTAGAACAGAACAAAGTTGAGAACAGCTATTGGTATTGTAATGCAAGGGAATAATAAATATATAAATAAAATGTTATTTACATGCTAGAATTGCATGGCTTTGTAACATATGTGGCCCAGTATTTCAGAATGTTTGGCAATCACCATCACAAGGGCTGCGAGCATATGGTTTTCAGGTCAATATCTTAGACACTGAGAACAATGTAGAGAACTGACATAATTGGGTGTGAAGTCACCGACAAAGAGGGCAAATATAATACAGAATACAAGGCTACTCAGTATATATGATGCTGAATGTCCCTGTGCCGATTGGATATAATTATGTCAGCATTTCTACCCATTAAGTTCAAAAGTGTGATGATAAGCATTTCATTCCCTTTTGTTTTAAGGACCAATGCAGACTAATAAGGATTCCTATACATCCCCTGAGTTTTCCAGGCTGCGACATTTTGGTATATGCACTGTAATCCGTTTGCTGTGAAAGACCTCTACAGAGTGTCGGCTTCATGTTGCCGGCCACCTGCAAGGTAGTGATTACTGGATTATAGACTGAGGTGAGTCAGGGTAAAAGATGAAGGCCTGGATTCAAGCCGTATCGCGGAAGATCAGAGGTAAAATGTAAAGGGAATTTCCTATTGAGCCGACATATGCAGCGTTTACCGTGAATGCAGCCTCCGCGACCGCGGGAACGTTGCCTTTAATTGACAATCGCGCTACAAAGCGGATCTTCAGCGCTACGGATTGAATAGATCCCTACATTAGGGGATAAAATGTAGGCCAACAGGCTTAGGTGGTGAGAAGGACAACCTGATATGACAGACGGTGGATACTTTTGATCCAAAATCAAGATGGATACTTTTGATCCAAAATCAGGATGGATTATTTTGATCCAAAATCAGGATGGATACTTTTGATCCAAAATCAGGATGGATACTTTTGATCCAAAATCAAGATGGATTCTTTTGATCCAAAATCAGGATGGATACTTTTGATCCAAAATCAGGATGGATACTTTTGATCCAAAATCAGGATGGATACTTTTGATCCAAAATCAGGATGGATACTTTTGATCCAAAATCAAGATGGATTCTTTTGATCCAAAATCAAGATGGATTCTTTTGATCCAAAATCAAGATGGGTACTTTTGATCCAAAATCAAGATGGGTACTTTTGATCCAAAATCAGAATGGATACTTTTGATCCAAAATCAGGATGGATTCTTTTGATCCAAAATCAGGATGGATTCTTTTGATCCAAAATCAAGATGGATACTTTCGATCCATTTCCAAAATAGAAAATGTGCATTTGAATAGCTACCCCCCCACGTCACAGGTATTATGCATATTGATGTAAACAAATTAATAAAAATAGACGTGTAAATTAAGTGATCATCAGGGCGATGCTGTGATTGGTTGGGGTCAGTCAGTCAGTTGACCCATGAGGAACAGAATAATTGGCTGATACAAAACCAAGTGAAACCTCTTCTGAATGGTTGAGATGATAATGAGCTTTCATTGTCAATGATAAAGTAAGCTTTGTTACTCTTAGATGAGGATGCTGGCTATATCATTACACCACTGATGAACAGACATTCTTGAGCCAGGTGTTCTGTCCCCTCTTATTAGTAGTAATTACTACTGAACGCTAATAGAACTTGGAGAGTGGAAACCGACCAGCACAGGCATGAAATAAAAAAAGGAATATTAACATTTCTGGACGTCGTGGTAACAATTCAGAGGCATTTCGGAACAAAAGCACTCCGACCACAGGACACGGCTCATTTGGTTGCCGTTGCCTTGGAAATTGACCAAATCTCTCATCGTTACCCTGACTTGGCCTCTTGTGTTTTATTTCTGTGAGATGCAATGCAGCATTAGTCTGTGAGAGAGGAAAGGAGATTGGACCTGGGGCTTCAGGTGACCTGGCCACTGCTACAGAACTGACCAAGTGCTGCTATTAGCTGCAGGAATCAGCAAACTGTTAGTCTGGTCCCTGATCTGTTTGTTCTGTCATGTCAATAACCGTAGGAGCTGGTTAGAAAACATAAACAGATCTGGGACCAGGCACACTGCGAGAGGGACAGCTACTGTAAGTTGTACTGCATAGGCCAACTATAGATGCGCAGCGAGCTACCATGAGAGAACCCCTGTTCATCAGAGCCTACTGGAAGAGCGGTTGATGAGTGTTGGCCCACTTCAGCCTAGCTGCCCACAGACTGTGGGGTAGAAATGTCACCGCATGGTGCTCCATCACTTTGTTTTGATGTCTTCCAGAAGCGGTAAGGGAGTACAGAATAGTCTGTAACAATGATACAATTGGGACGTTGGGGAATATACAAAACATGGGCCTAGTAGAATACGTGAGCAAAGATGATATATATCAGACCTAGAGAGATAAGAATAAGAGGAGAGACGTCAGCATGTCCCTTCACCCTCCTGATGTGCTCTCTCAGGTCAAACAGAGGAGATTGCGTCAGCTTGCTTGTCCCTTAAGGATGACCCCTCTCTGACGTCGCAAACTGGTACAGTGTTATACTCAATGAACAAAGAGAGTCTGTGTCAGTCAAGGGCTGGTCAGTCTGCCAATGTAAGAGAAACAACAACAGTAGAACTCATTAGGCTGGCCCCAGATCTATTTGTGTCGTATATCTCCTGTGGTCATTATCTCCTAGGATCATTGTCATGCATCACCATGACCACAGGAGCTTTACAGCACAAACAGATCTGGGACCAGCCTAATAACTCCCTGATGTTGTTAAGACTAAGAGTACGGTAATTAGCATCCCTACTGACTGTAAATGGGTATCCCATACCAGTTCAGTGGAGTGGTATCACGTGCACATCCCTCACCAGTTACCAACTCTAAAATGGTAATGATGTGTGTCCCTGTCTCACACCAACTCTAAAATGGGGTTGTTGAATTGAAGCACATCAGAACTGGTATCTAATGGGTCAATATTGGTATCTGAAGGGTTAAAGTGGAACTAGAATTTGTGGTAATCTCTGAGGAACCAGCTCATGCTAATGAACCGAGAAGCTCAATTCCACCCCCACATTTTCTGAAGTAAACCAGCCCAAAGACATGCCTGCAAATCCACACTCAGAATTATAATAGGAAAACTCCAGTAATCCTATCCTTACTGAAATGAGTTTGCAGCAAGTAGCATTAGAGAAAAGTTATCAACGACTTTCTAGAATAGTCTATACTGCGCAGTAGGTAGACAGGGGGAATAATACCCTACGGGAGAGACTTAAGGCTCGATTCAATCCGTAGCGCAGAAGATCTGTGTTGTAGCTAGCGATGCGGAGAAAATAGATAGTTATACATTGCAATATAATTTTTGGGATGATATTATATCGATATTTGACTCCAAGTATCGGTTTGTAAAAAAACAATTAAAGTAGGTAGCGTTAGCTAGTGCTAGTCGGCTGTATCTGCGCTAAAACTCCAGTATTTTTCATCCTATAGCTTGTTCTCCATAAAAAAATAATAATAATTGTAAACTAACATGCTTTCATCACTTTTTTATTTCCATGACTGATCAAAATGTGTTTTCTCATGTCTCTCTCTTGTCTCTCTGCAGCAGACATATGGTGAGCAATATGTTTGGAACATCAAATCTCAATGCATATCGTATCGGCACCTATGGTATCGTGAGGTCCCTGACAATTCCCAGCTGTAGTTGTAGCGCAGTTGAAATGTAAAGGTAATTTTTTCAATTGAATTGACATATGCAGCATTTACCGTGATTGCAGTCTCAGCGAACGCGGAAACATTGCCTTTGAATGTCAATCGCGCTACACCCCTGATCTTCTGCGCTACGGATTGAATCAAGCCCGTCAAACAGGCTACCATTGCTCTCACTTCTCAGCCAGAAAGCATCTAGTGGTAACAAAGTTGGTTACGTAACTCTCTGGTCCTACAGTATATTCCGAAAGAAAAAGTTTGCTAAAACAGCAGGAAGTTAAGAAGGAAGGTTTAGTTCGTTATATAACATTCAACAGGACTGTGAAGGAGACCACACCGTAAGTAGCAGCAATGCTAATACTGTACAACGGTGCAGAGTAGAATGTCAATGGTACATTAAGTAAATATATTTGGAGTTAAATGTACAGACATCAGTGTAAATTATTCATAAACTTAAAAATAAATAAAAAAAGGAGAGTATATACAAAGACTACACTCAGTGATGTAGTCCACCATGATTAAGTCATGTTTAGTAATATAAACACGTCAAACTTAATCATCAGTACACGTCAGACAGCTCTGTTTCCCAGCTTTGCCATTTTGTTTAAACAGTCCTTTTGAAGAGCAGGATGTTCAGCCAAGTTCCCCTCCTCTATTCATCACTCTGGCTTTTCTTTTAACTAGCATCCCAGAAACAGCGAAAGCATCCCACTTCACGGTAACTCACATCCCACCAAAGGCATGTCGAAACTCCAGTCTTAAAAAGAGGCTAAGGCTGAACAAATGCATTTGGTGGTTGAGTTTCCTGCTCAATATCCTCAGACTGCTCTAATTTCAGCAAAGGATTTTCTATCACCTCACTTCTGCGTCATTTCCTGACATGTACAAAAAAAAGTATTCAGAAGCTGTTAACATCTGAAAGCAGCCTCCATCACACATTCAGCAATAGGCTTGTTTCCCCATGATCAAAGAGGATCACAGAGGAGGACATTACCATATCATTAACTTGTGTCCTCACTTCTCTGTACAAGGGTGGTACTGACTTCTTGATGATACACATAATAAAATCCCATATGAACTCACCCACACATAATCTCAAAGACCCAAACCACCCACAGACACTCACATTCACAAGAACTTGAATGGGAATCCAGTGAAACAAGAGCAGATACTAAAGCAACACTGTTGACGTTGGATCACGTCCGCTTGGTCAGCGATTGACTTAAGAACCTAAGGAGGAACTAAACTCTTATCTCCAGACTCGACTTGACTTGGCTCTCCATACAGCACTCCAGGACCCGGAGGACAGAAGGTTGTTTTTCAGACAGAACTCGCTGTTACTCTCCTCGGTCCTCCTTTACCTCAGCTGACCTGCTTGATATAAATACCTGCATCTGAACTCTGGAAATGAGAGCACTCTGTTTAAAAGCAGCTCGACCACGGCTCAGCCGCTGCACTGCTCCACATAGCCTGCTCCACATAGCCTGCTCCACATTTAGCACAGTCAGGGACTGTGAGGATGTTCAAGGAATTTAAAAAGAAGGCATCTAAAATTGTCTGGCTTTTGGTCTTCAGAGGCAGCATCTAACTCTGTCTCAGTGTAGCCAGCTGTACCAGCTGCAGCTGAGCTAGACCTGAGACGATGTTGAATCAATGTTAGATGCTCGGCATCCGACGTGCTTCTCGTAATGATAAAACACGTTGCACAGAGTTGTCAGAATGTGAGGTACGGCGTAGGACACAGTTGATCTAGGGTCAGTTTTGCATTTCTCCGTTACTAGATACTAGTTAGATATGTACCTACAGATCCCCCATAACTACATAATGGTTAGATATGTACCTACAGATCCCCCATAACTACATAATGGTTAGATATGTACCTACAGATCCCCCATAACTACATAATGGTTAGATATGTACCTACTCTTATCAAGAGCATTAGATACAGATACAGATACAGTCTCATGCAGTAGCCTGTGTTTGGGCTAAGATCCTCTATCCAAACACAGAAAAATATACAAACCTGCATAGATCTGGTACCTGATAGAGATCTGATGCATTCTCTTTAGACGAGACTTCATAAGCCTGCATATATTCAAACTCTCTGGTACCCTTTTCACACTACCGTGCCAAATACAGCTGGGCTTGGGCCTGGTTCGGCTCAGTAGTGTGAGTAGGGTATGGATGAGAGACTGATTGGCTTGTATCGGGCCATCATGGCACCCCACGAGGCGTTTAGATAAAGCTCTGAGAGCTACACCTGACAACGGTGACCTGATGATGTCATCTCTTGTTTACTCCAGTCACTCTTAACTCGTTGAGACAAGGTGACAAGGTGGGCTTTTACGCAACACCGGCACCCAACAGGGAAAAGTAAGAAGATAATTTTAACTTGATGCCTGCCGGGCCATCTTATCGAAAGCCGTCCATCGCGGTAACCAAAGGTAAAGAGGCACATCAAAACAGGGTTAGCGCCACTAATCTAATTTCGCTAATGTGACTTAATTCCCTTCTGAGGACAAAGGACCATTATCTTTACTATAAGTCAGCAAGACAAGGCAATAGCCAAAAGGTCATTACGCAACCTTCACAGACCACCAAGTATTACATTTCAAGTGAAAGTCCACTTTCATGTAGGCTTCCTTATCAGATGCTGAACCACTGATGTATAATATCTGCACAAAGCTAACAGGGCTCTAGAGGGCGGACATTTTACTTGCATATGCGCCTAAATATTTTGCTGTGCGACCTGGAATTTCTATTTAGGAGCACGAGTTCGCCTTGAAAAATTAAGGATTCTAGCTTTATCACCTCAAATGTCTCTATACACCCTTATTCAGTGGAAAGACCATATAGACAGACCATATAAATCTATTGCATAAAGCTGACCCAAATATTTACTCAACATGATTGAGAAACATGTCGGTTCCACAAAACACATCTCTACGTTACATCTAAATGTTACTGAAGGTAATGTTGCACTCTCCTGAACTTAAAAACCTTTGGCTTTTAACTTTTGGGACATCTTGTCCTGAAAATAAATAAGATATATTTTAGCATCTCCTATGACCTTGCTAAGGCAGCTGTGACTGACAGTCTATCAAGGACTTAGAGTAAGGTACAGACAGCCATCCACTGTTTCTCCTAAACAAGCACGATCCTAACACCAGCCAACCATTTCTTGGGTGTCGATTGGCTCGCCACCTTGCACCTTAAAGCCGAACAGGAAGTATATGTCCCAGTTCCTGGCCGTAATCCTGTGATTTGGCAGCGCTGGATGTTTCTGCTGCTAAGCCAGTGAAACCCTCTCTACGTTAATCACAGCTGGGCTTTCGAGTTCCAAGCTATCCAAATCTGTCCCAAACTGTCCTAATCTGTCCCAATCTCAGACCCTTAACTGGGTAGTGGGCGTGTTCATAAGGGCACGCGAATGGACAACGGAAAATTAGTGTTTCTAATGCACGAGCGTTGCAAAATAAATGTACACATACATGTTATTCAATCATTTCATCCAAACTGCTCACGAGCGTCTGCGTAGCCAGGCGCTAAAATAGAACTTGGTTCTATTTTTGACGCGTGACGCGCTGCAAGTCCCGCCTCTCCCATCTCCTCATTGGCTTTTAGGAGCATATACCCACGTGGGTGATTGAAAGATGAACTGAGGTCCACACTCCAGTCCAGTTGGTGGTGGTAATGCACCTTAAAGTTGGTTGCCAACTGCCATATAAAGTCCACAGAAGAAGAAGACTGAAGGAGGAGAGATTACTAGAAACTAACTAGGTTTCCCCTGTTATCTGTGGATTAATTGTCGGAGCAGAGAACACACGATTTTGTGTGACTCAAAATCGGTACAAATTCTACAAAAATCCAGAAAAAATGACTTATTTCAGGTAAAATAACAACCCAATGTTTATATCCCAGGACAAATTACCTAGCAACAGCAAGCTAGCTAGCTATCTTAAATGTCCATGAATGTTTCATGTGTTTCGACCTGTCCCCAAATTAATATAGTTGGTTCAGAGTTTCGTTGTTTTATTATTTCAACCTCCGTGTCCTGATTGCGTCTGGTGTGGATGGGCAAAATCAACATGCGCGCGATTGTGCACACAGGACTCACGCGCGTGCCCGGTTTAGTTGGCATGTAAGGCTCCTTACCTTACTGCACGGATAAGACAGAATAAACTCCAGGAAGCTAATAGTTGGATATACCATATAGGCTGGGCTGGCGTCATACTGCTCTCACATGCCAATCATCTCTGACCAGTGAGGAAGGATATGCTATAATAATATACAACAAATGAAAGGATCAAACTAAGTGTATTTACCTTCATCAGTATCAAAACAGAGAGACAAGGAGAGATAGAGGGCACAGCAGTAAAATAATGAAACCAAGAGAGAGTATAAGGATGGAGAGATAGTTAGGACAGGCAGACAGGCAGTAAAGAGGACGGACGGACGGACGGACGGAAGGACGGACGGACGGACGGACAGACGGGCGGACGGGCGGGCGGGCGGGAGGGAGAGTGGAGAGATACATAACTATACAGTCAGAGACAGACAGACAGGCAGACAGTAAAGAGAGTGGAGAGATACATAACTATACAGTCAGAGACAGACAGACAGGCAGACAGTAAAGAGAGTGGAGAGATACATAACTATACAGTCAGAGACAGCCAGACAGACAGACAACAGACAGTCAAGAATGTCAAGACAGTCAGAGACCGACTAACATACAGCCAGACAAACAGACAGCGAGACTGACAGCCAGACAGACTGACTGACTGACTGACTGACGACAGACAGCCAGAAAAGGGCAACAGTACGGGATTGGCGCTCTGGCAATCGTCTCCTAGAGGCCTGGGATGCCCACACTGTGCCAACCATGACATCACCACTGCCACCCAGGGGGCTTATAGAGGCACTGTGTGGGTCAAAGGTCATAGAAACACTTCCAATAAATATCTCACCTCCGTCTCTCCTGATCAAACCATCTCTTTCACTCCCATTTTACGACATTTCATAAAAACCATCTCTTAATTTTCCCCTTATTCCATTCTATTTCTATGTAGGCTACTAGGGAGTTTGTTTGACTATTACGTAAGAGGCAGCGAGGGGAGACGGAACAGTCATAAAAAAAATTAAAAAAGTAATCCATAGAACCTTGTTTTGACTTCTCTCATAAAATAATTAAGATTTAGGGAAGTGAATTGCATGAGGCCGCAGGATACAAATGATAAGAAGTTGGTAATGAATACTAATTGCATCCACAATGTTGTGCTTGTGTAACCACAACTAATCTACAGCCTACACAGCCAGTAACAAATTGGGCATTTTCACTGTATGACAAAAAATAAAGCTTGTCATCACTTGTCAATATTCTTGTTATGACATCACAAAAGGCCCGAGGTTGTCAGGTTTCAGGTCACCAATGAGTTGATGCACAGTGACATGTCATCCATCTTCATGACAACCCAAGACAGGGTCATGGGGTCAAATAGACAACCAGGGGACAGGTATTATGAAAAATAACTGTCATCGTGACCTTTAACACAATGACAAGTGATACCATGATACCATCGTTCAAGGTGAGAAAACCCAGTGAAAGAGAAAGAACATTCTTTCCCATCTCACAAATTATTTCAGGACACTGTCCTTCCGAATCCTTCAGAGTTCAGGAAGCTGACAGAGATAGCAATTCCCCTAAAAAAAAGTAACTCTAAAAAAAACTAATTTGGTGTCAAATTGGTGTGTCTATCGAACAAACCACTGCTTGCCTTTCGGCCTTTCAGTCAGTCTTCATGGTGAGGAAGTGGGCCTGGAGATTTACTCTCAGCTTAGGGTGGATTTGAGAACTGCTAGTAGGCAGTTTGGGGCTACGGGATAGTTGCAACCAGCTTATTTTAAAACAACAACCCCATTGATATGCCTCTTCAAGTGAATGTTGAGCGCTAAAACATATGTAAAATATGTACACAGGATTATGTTTGGACAACGGATTTCCTAGTGACGTGGCGGTTATGATGGTTATGTATTCAGAACTCTCAGCCCACCAGGGACGGCTTGTTCAATAGGGCGATATGGGCGACGCACTGCCAAACGGGAAAAGGAAGGGATTTTTTTTCTAATCAATTATTTAAAAAAAAATTAAATAAAAAAAAATATTTTTTTTTTATAAATTTATAAAAAATTATATCACGGCAACAGCAGTTATCAGTGTTCACGTCTGATCTGCCAGCCACTAAATGTCAAATCAGGCTAAAGTCGTGCTTCAAATGGCCCCGCCCGTTTTTTGGGCGATTTCAGTCAGGTTGAAAATCGCCCAGAAGTCTGTCATAGACTCCCATGTAAAATCTATTTTTGTCACATTTCAAAGCTTTCAATACATTCTCTATGGGTGTCTGTGGGCTTGCACTTACGCGCTTTCGTCATACATAACGTAACCACGAATGAACGTAACTAAGAAAAGACCAGGTAGCAGCCTCAATCAATTCACTACTACTATCAAAATGGCTAGGCTTCAGTCCAACTCGATTGTGTCTTTGAAAGAAGTTCCTTTTTGTCGGCGAACAAATGAAGATAAATTGGCAACGAAACAATTAGGACCTCCCAGACCAAATTTAATAATTCAACAGCTGTCTACTAAAGGGGGGAAGTCCTACACCCGAGGATTTTCCAAAAATTGGTATGAACGGAAAACCTGGCTAGCAGGCTGCGATGTAGCTAATGCAGTTTTTTGCTACCCCTGCTTACTCTTCCACCCTGAAGGCGGCACAGCAGACAGCACCGCTTGGACAGCGACTGGTGTAACCGACATGCACCATCTTTCAGAAAAGATTAAGAAAAATTAGCTGTCAAAGACCCACATATAGCTGTTTGAGATTGTCTGCTTTTGGGAGAGTGAATATTGCCACTCAACTGGATGAGGGATACAGGCTAGCTGTCCGCCGCCACAACGATGAGGTTAGCAACAGCAGAGTCGTGAACACTGTCTACGAGAATCGAGACGACCTCATATAATGTTTTGAAGCCATCCGGACGGGTTCATTGGGTTCATTTGACCAGCACACCTTGAGAGAGGCAGCTGGCTACGTGAGGATACTACATGATGAAGATTTAATTTTTTTCCTGCGGCTTTTTCACAAAATCATGCCCCACGTCGACATTCTGTACCAGAAGCTACAGAAGAAGGACATCGATGCTGTCTCTATCAAACGTGCCCTCGACAGCTTCACAAGCAAGTGCAGGCCATAAGGTAAGATTAAACAGATATCAAAAAATGTGGTAAAAGCTCTTGTTGATCCTGCAATCTGAACAAATACCAAGATGCTGTATTTTCAGCTGATATTTCATTTGTTTATGGAAATGCATATTGTTTATGCAGTGTTGAGGAATGTGAAAGAACACCCTTGATTATTTTTACTGTGATAACTTATTTTGCTTTTGTAAGCCAACACTTTTGAGATCAGTCAATAAATGCTTCTGGTATTGACTTATATGCTGCCCCTGTCTTCATGTTGTTGCTGGACATATCTTTTTAAAAATGTGTGTAGGTCACCTAAATCATCAGAAAAATTGCCCTCCCTGAGAATTTGTTCAGGAGCCGCCACTGCAGCCCACTATGGTGTTTTGTCTCTCACTGGATTTGGATTTTGTCCCTCGTTGGAGTGTTGGAATTTATGATTATCTTTGTTAAAGCTTGAGGCATGTTTTTTATTCCTTTAAAAGCTAACACAATACACAAATAAAATCAAGAATAGCTGCAACACATATCAGGAGAACGGCGCCAAGCCAGCATGGTGACAAACCTAATCATATCGTTTCCTCTGGGAGAATTTCAGTATGGAACTCTACGTCAAAAAAGTCAGAGCTGTAGCCTCCATGAAACTGAGCTTTGCTTGCACGGCTTGTTTGAGTCCAAGCTCCTTAGAGCCTAGGTGTGTCAGGCAAATTGGACGCCTGGTGCCCCAGGTCCAGTCAGCAGATCTGGGATCAGGAGGGGAGATGGAGCAGGACGCCCAATGGGAATAGAGCTTTTCAGTAGAGGATCAATGTTTACTGCTGTACTGCACCGCTTAAGGGGAACGGAAGGGAGGGGAAGCATCGCCTCAGCCCAATATGCTTGCTTTCAGCAATAATGCCTGTCTGTGATGTGACTTCTGTCTGTCTGCTCTTGCTCCCCCTCTCTCTCCTTCCTTCCTTCCTTCCTTACTTCTCTCCCTCTCTCTCCACCTCTCCCTCGCTCTCTCCCTCGCTCTCTCTCCCTCCCGCTCTCCCCCTCCCTCCCTCTCTCTTCCTCCCTCCCTCCTTCTCTCCCTCCCTCCCTCTTCCTCCCTCCTTCTCTCCCTCCCTCCCTCCCTCCCTCCCTCCCTCCCTCCTTCTCTCTCTCTCTCTCTCTCTGTCTAGAGAAATGAGAAAGACAATATTTCTATCCTTTACCACAAGACAGACCATATAGAGAGAATGAGAGTGATCGTGTGTGCGCACACATTTGTGTGTGTGTGTGTGTGTGTGTGAAAGATAGAGATAGAAATTTGCTCTGTGCCTACCTACCCACTGCATTTCAAAAGGAGAGTTTACTCACTGCAGAGAGCGAGAGAGTGAACGCCCACACAGTCCCTCAACACCACAGTAGCCTTAGAAAGCTGGCACTCTCTGTACCTCAACACAGCAGGCAGGGAGACTGCTCACTACTGCACTCTCTGAGCCAGACACACGTTCTTTCTACTGAATGTGATTGAGAGGTGTTCACAATAAGATGGAAATATATTCGGTGCTTCTACCTATCGGTACTCATGAAGGAAAGAAGATGAAGAGAAAAAAAGAAAAGAATGACAGAAAAGACAAGTAGAAGAGGTACAGGAGGTAGAGGTAGAGGTACAGGAAGTAGAGGTACAAGTAGTAGAGGTACAAGTAGTAGAGGTACAGGAAGTAGTGGTACAGGAAGTAGCAGTACAGGAAGTAGAGGTACATGAAGTAGAGGTACGGGAGGTAGAGGTACAGGAAGTAGCGGTACGGGAAGTAGAGGTACGGAAGTAGAGGTACGGGAAGTAGAGGTACAGGAGGTAGAGGTACAGGAGGTAGAGGTACAGGAGGTAGCGGTACAGGAAGTAGAGGTACAAGTAGTAGCGGTACGGGAAGTAGAGGTACGGAAGTAGAGGTACGGGAAGTAGAGGTACAGGAGGTAGAGGTACAGGAGGTAGCGGTACAGGAGGTAGCGGTACAGGAAGTAGAGGTACGGGAAGTAGAGGTACAGGAGGTAGAGGTACAGGAGGTAGCGGTACAGGAAGTAGAGGTACAAGTAATATAGGTACACGAAGTGTTCCAGCCGTTGTCTGGTAAAATGGCAAGCGGCGGTCATACATACACTGATAAGTGGAACCAGGTGGTCTGGTTTGGAACTAAAATGAGAGCCTAGTCATTCTCCATCCCTCTATGGCTCAAAACCAGTGACTCAAATTGTTACCACACGGAGTCTGACTGGGATGTAAGTGAAACGGTCCAAGCTGATTTGAGAGCTACTGTTACTGCATTTACATAATAGTCATTCAATAATAGGAGAGTATTGTAATCTACTTCATAATATTGCAGTAGAGGAGTTCTTCAGTGGTCTAATAGCTGATTAACTTAATCAGATATTCTGATGAGGAAACTCAATGCAGAGGCCTGCTTGAGGGAAAATCTTAGCCTGGGTAAATCCGACTGAATGCTGAGTGAAACAATGGTGGCACAGCATTCAGTCTGTTAAACCAAGCAAGTCTATCTAGACTAAATCACAGCCTCATGTAAAGCTTATTGACCCATCTTTGAACCCATGCAGTATGTCGTTGTGGCAAATTATACACGTTTAATGATGACGGTAATCACAATGTCCTTCCTCCTTGTGCCTGTCTGCCAGTGTGTGTGTGTGTGTGTGTGTATGATTTCCTGTAGTTATTCATAGATTGCATTAGTTGATCTAAATTAGGTCTCAGGCAGCGATTACATAAGTTCCGACATATTTCCCCAGACGTGCAACTGTCGGCAAGGTCGTGAACCAACACTCCTAATTCCAGAGTGAGAGTGGCTCATTGTTTCAAACCCAATCCCAAATCCTGACAGATTAGGAAGTAAGCACCCTGTTGAGTAGCTAAGTCGTTGTAGCAAAATGTACACATATAATAACGACGGTAATCACAATGTCCTTCAATTAGAAATGGACTTTAAAGTGGATAAAGTAGGATCACCTGATTGTGTCTGCCAGTTTCCTCCTAAATGACTTGGCAGGCCATTACTGTTTATCAAGCTTTTGTCTGTGGATGTGGAATGTCCAGATTGTTATGGATATGGTTATTAAATCCCTCGGTTTCCTAGAAACCTGGTGATCACAATTGAATGAATGGGACCGTAATTAAAAGGGCAATACACTCCATAATCTACAGATGGCACCACAATCCATAATAAAAGGGCAACACACTTCCGTAATCTCTGTTGCCTGCAGTTATCAAATGTCTAAACGTTAACCATCAGGACAGCGCCCAGACTTAAGGCTTCCGCATGTTTCATTGAAGAATCCCTTTTGTTGACCAATGACCGATGAAGGAGCGTAGACCTCGGCTCTGAACTTCGGCTTGCCTCGAGAAATGTTTTTATGTGCACAAAGAGCCAAATAAAACCTTGCTGAAGACCAAAACTAACAAAAACGTCACAAAATGTTGTCATAATATATGCACAAACTGTTTCGGATGGGAAGCATGCGGACGCCTTAGGCTAACATATGTTAGCCTTACCTAGCCTTGCTAAGCTAGCAAATAGCTCTACGAAGGTCAGAGAAACAAAAGGTTACGATTGATATAGCTAGCTCGTAGAGAGCAACCAAACAGGTTTATCTAATGACCGGTGTCTCTTGCCGACAGACACATTTAGCTCACTGTTAATCTAGTGCACTTTCACTTGACCCTGGTGGGTAAGAAAGCTACAGTACGTTTAGATTGTTCAGTGCGCGTACGTTGGGATTCAAAACATCACCCCAAAATCTGTGCCTGCGAGCCTGATAATTTTATTTAAAAATACATATATTTTCTTTTTTAAAGAAACGTCTCCACTTTACAGTCATACTAAAGGTTAATTCGTTAATTTACATAAACCTTCATTATGTTGCAGTAGGAGCATTAATGCGGCATCCTTTCAATTCAGGTTAGAGTAACATCCTTTGAATCCCTCTGTCATCCCTGCTGTTGATCAGTATTTCCATTCATCATCCTTCAAGTCATGCAGGCAGAAAGCCACACAACCAGACACACACACACACACAAAGACAGGCAGACAAACAGACATATGCCATACACACACACAGGCTGTGTCTGAGTCACAGGAACCATTGCTGAGTCACTGGAGAGGCCTGGGATATTCCCAATGCACCCAGCACTGGTATCCATAGTAACATAGGTAACAACATTGCTACTGAATCTCAAACGAAAAGGGTACTAATCACATCGATTCAAAAGCAGGAAAAATTATCTCCCACATTATCTTTACAACATTATTTTTCATTCATAAACACAACGCAGAAGGTCATATTGAACAAAGAACCACATTGAACAGAGTGAATGGCCAGTTAACCAATATTCAGTCGCTGCACTGACTTAGAGAAATACCTGACATTGACAAATGAGACTAATTCATCTAGTTTACCATTAATGCTCTTAATATCTTTAGCGAATGCAAACATTATGCTCGTGCACATTCTGAGGAACGTGCACGAGCATTAAGACTTTATGATAGTCCATTTTGCAGGCTATAGGGGCGTTTGCGCGTCCTTGTGAGATTCTAAATTGTCCTCGTCTGAACCGAGAGGCAAGCTATGACAGACAGCTAACAAGGTCGATCTCCACAGTTCAATAAACGTACATCATCCAATCAAGCAGAAGGAATCAAACTACAGCTCAAGGCGCCCAGGAGAAACAAAACAGCAATCTACTGCGCCAATTTATTTAATCGTATTCATATCTCAATCTATTCAATACTAAATTCTAATGAATACAAAGGCTACATTCGTCAACCTGATACAGTTCAATATTAAAACGCATTAACCACATGCGTGCGTGCAAACTTCACCTTACAGACCCTTAATCCAGTTACTTTGGATAAAGGCACGGTGTGGTTGAAATCCGTCACCTGAATGTAGCCTGTACTGCTGTCCCATATGTCAAGGTAGGTTTAAATGAGTCTGATTATTTAATGACTTAATACTGTCTTTGGCAAGTTGTCAACAAATTACTGTCACGATAAATATGATATTATCACGGTAAATATGATCTTAAAATCATATGAATTAAATATGTATTAAAAAGTCAAACTGTAAATGGAAATACAATACGGATGGTTAACTCGGAGGTGTCGTTTAAAAATGGGTTCATTACATTTCTGATAAAATACATTGAAATTAAATGCGGTCATCTGAGGATAGATAACGGGAGAGGAGACAGTCACCACCCTACGTCACGAGTCTATCGGTACCGTACAAGTCCGTAAAAAGTTCAGGTAATATCTCAATATATTCAATACTAAATTCTAATTAATACAAAGGCTACATTCGTCAACCGGATACAGTTCAATATTAAAACGCATTATACCACATGCATGCGTCCAAACTTCACCTTACAGACCCTTAATCCAGTTACTTTGGATAAAGGCACGGTGTGGTTGAAATCCGTCACCTGAATGTTGCCTGTACTGCTGTCCCATATGTCAAGGTAGGTTTAAATGAGTCTGATTATTTAATGACTTAACACTGTCTTTGGCAAGTTTTGTTGGATTTCAACAAATTACTGTCACGGTAAATATGATATTCAAATCATATGAATTAAATATGTATTAAAAAATCAAACAGTAAATGGAAATAGCATACCGATGGTTAACTCGGAGGTGTCGTTTAAAAATGGGTTCATGAAGTTTCTGATAAAATACATTGAAATTAAATGCGGTCATCTGAGGATAGATAACGAGAGAGGAGACAGTCACCACCCTACGTCACGAGTCTATCGGTACCGTACACGTCGGTAAAAAGTCTACCAGTGATCAATTCAATGCAAACATGAGGAAAACAAACTAAATCTCAGAAAACGCAAAACCTATAGGCTAGGCTAATCATTCCATATATTTTTTGCAAAACCGTTTAGCCAAGATAACTCGTTATAGACATATACATACCGTTACCGATGCAGAGCACTGAGGTATGATAAGAACGATGCAGAGCCACTTTACTGGAGAGTCGTGTGTCTAGAAACTGGAGAGCAGTGTTGGTGGTCTGCGGGCGGGGTGAGGAGGAGGAGAAGGGGGAGGGAAGAGAGGGAGGGAGGGACTGGAGAGAAGATTGGCAGATTTGGATACGAATGCAGGCCTGAGGCAAAGCGGGACGGGATGCGGCAACGTCGTCTGCAGCCAGCCGCCTATGGTTCAGCTACGACTCTTGGAGCCAGGGAGGGGCGCTATGCGACTCATTGCACCAGTGGTAACTCACTGCCTAAACTCAGACTAAAGAAAAAAAACATTCTGGCGAATCTGACAGTGGAAATGTTTTAACAGGAATTTACCAGGCAGGTTTCTTGACAGAACAGCTCATAATTTGGAAGCAATCTGATACAAATAGAAGTATGATGACGCAAATAATGACATTGACTTTGGGGTGAATAGGTTCATATGGAGAGGCATGCAGCAAATAGGCCATCTTGTCCAGCAAGGCATAAAAACAACAATCTAATGACATAGCAAATCCAAACAGGGTAACAATGCGCGTGCGTGCGTGCCTGCACCGTGTGTGTGGGCTTTATTTCAGATAGAAGACTACATCAGGCAGCTGTTTGGTGCAAAGGGACCGCTACTGCACCTATTTTCACACACAATCCTCTTTCTCTCTCTCCCTTTACAAACATCACAGCTATTCTCTACCTTTCTAACACTCCCACCCAGCTGGCAATGCTGGCTCTGCTTGTTTTATCTTTAAATAGCAAATATGGAGGTTAGTGTTCTCATTTTCTCCACCTCTTTCTCTCCCCACCTCTTTCTCTCTCTCTCTCCCCCCTCCTCTCCGCACCTCTCCCACCTCACTCTCTCTCCCTCCTCATCTCTCTCTCTCTCGCTCTCTCTCCTCTCCCCACTCTTCGCGGTCTTCTCCTCTCCCACCTCTCTCTCTCCTCTCCCACCTCTCTCTCTCCTCTCCCACCTCTCTCTCTCCTCCCCACCTCTCTCTCTCCCCCTCTACCCCACCCCTCCTCTGCTCGCGCCCTCCTCTCCCCACCTCTCTCTCGCTCCCTCCTCGTCCCACCTCTCCGCCCTCTCCCTCCTCGCCCACCTCTCTCTCTCTCGTCCCTCCTCTCCCCA